GTGTTTCTGCTTGGTCAACGGGGCATACAAACGATTTGTTTTTCTACGGCCAACAGGCCCTTGGGCCTCGTCTGGGGTTTGTTTTTACACATAAATATTTGTTTTTATTTGCTTAAGCATTGAATTTGTGTCGTCTTCTAGGGAACGCACACACCATAGCCATGACCACACCACAAGCCACCTAAGAATCCTTCTACAGGCGCCAATGGAAGGCCGCTTAAGCCTTTACAGCTGCCCCGCGGAAGGAAAGTCGGAGTGAGTTAAGCAGCCTATGCCAAAAAGCCATCCAACATGCTGTAAATGATTTCAGCAACTTAACAAGCACAATTTAGCACTAATAAAAGTGATCAATATCTGTTTGATATGGCAAAAGCGGCCAATAGCCGATCAGAGCATGGTTTTAAGAGATTTTCTTTATGAATTGCACAAGCTAATTGATTGGGAAATGGGACAACGAGATGGGCTTCACTGCACAGGCATGGAACAGCGTTTTCGCTCTGGATTACACTAATTTTTAAATGGAATTGAAGTACGCTCGGTTCACACATAGCTGATCTGCTCTGAATTGCAGAACATAAGACTCCAGGTCTAGAATTTTGAGCTGTGGGCGTGTGCGGGACATGGATTTCACACACCGATCTCAGGAGGATCCTGGAACGATCCTTTTGCAGCATGACGAAAGGTAAATTTGTAAACAATTGTGCTAATTAAGCCAGCCCAATAAAAATCGGCTCACGGAGGCTTGAGAGGCCGAGTGGCCTGAGATCTCCCGGGGAGATCCAGGCGAGCACTTGAACTAAATCCGGTAGCTTAAACGAGTTAAAGGAACTTGAACGGAACTTAATCCCATAAATTTGGGAAAAATACAATTTTAATCAGGTTAATTCGTGTGTAGCGCGACTGTTGCATGGTTTCGGGATCTGGGCCATCGGATCAGTAGTCAGGTAGTCGGGCCAAGCGAAAGGATTAGGCCTCTGGATCTCGGGGATTTAGCGCAAACAGAGGTGAGTCCCGAACAGGCCCACCTTCGCCCTCCGTCTCTCCTGCCTTCCTGCGACATTTTAATTTAATCTCAGATTACGAGCGAAGGAGGAGATCGCGGGACGGGATCAGTCCACAGTCCACCAGATTAGGCCACTCCGCCTGCTCGTATATTGCCAAATAATGCTCGAGCTCAAGGGGCCAGTTCGATTGCAAAAGTTTCACGTAAATCCGTAAGATTAGATGTCTAGATCCCCAGATTTCCATATTCCCTCCCGCGCTTAGCCCAATTGTTAGGTCAATTGCAAAATCACTTGAGCGAGGATTGGGAAACTGGGTCATCGAGAGGTAGGCTTTAGTACTAGGTAGATCTGGGAAGCCACTGGTCATGCCCACTAAAGCTAGCAGTGCCTCCGATGATCCCATTTCCTGATCCCCACAGAAGTCCAGAGAGTAGTCTGCTGGACTAGCTCTTTTGACTTTCGAATCCATGGGAAGACTAAGAAACATAGCTATGCTTATGTGTTCCAACCTCCGATTTAAAATATATAAATAAATGAACTTATAAAAATAATCATCCTTTATGCCCTTTTTCCCTTTATGAAGTTCAATTGAGAATATATCTAAAATGCTAACTAAATCAAATTATGGTAAACTTATGATGGGCTCTTAATATTAAGAAAGGCTACTTAAGCCATTCTTAGAATTCAAACAAACATAAACCAATATCAAAGCATATTATTTTGCCAGGCCACAAAATTAGTTGGAAAAACTCCAATAAATATTTTCCGAATATTAAATATCAAAACTCACGATCACGGCGGCCACGTGCTGATCATGCGCTGGCTGAAAAGGATTGTCAATCGGTCGTGACGCCCCAAAAGGGAAGGGATTAGGAGTCATGAGTAAACACATTCTGATCACTAGGATCTCTGGCGATATGTCAACACAGATCGAAAAGAGTTGAGACTGCGGTCCTGGCAAATCAGATGCGATTTGCGATCGCCTTGGGGTTGAAATATGAAAATAGGGGACGATCAGCATGGGGATCGCGAATCCTGATTGACATTTTGGCCATATCACCTGGCGACAAAAGTGTGTCCTTTTTCTCGCCTGTGATTGGAGTGTGCTCTGCACGTGGGCAAATGACACACATTCCGGGATCGCAGGAGAGCGAGAAGAAAGATCGTCCTTTGTGTGGTTTGGCCCGCCCGTCGTTTGTTGCTGCTTCTCCTTCTATTTTTTTCTCCCGTTTTTTGTCAGTTTGATCTCTTTAGGGAGATATATTCGGCTCTCGCCTTTTTCTACAATCGATTACAGGAAAATGATGATGTTTCCAAAGGATAATCTCGGTTGCAACATCTAGGATTTGTCTGGCGTTGGGTTATGCATCATTATTTGACTCACACTTGACATCTCGATTGTTTAAAAAGAAAGAGAATAAAGACCAAGGCAACAAGATGCCAATTAGGCTCTTCTTTTTTTTGCGATCTTAAGAAGATCAATGCAGAATCTGAGGATCACGAATCCCTGGGGTATAGAGCTTAGCTGAAACCATTTTTATCGCGAAACGGGCACTATATTTGGCTTGGATTCAGCCATTTGGCAGCGCCATTTTGTTTCGTGGTTACGAGATTCACATCATGCAAGGGTTGCAGAGGGTTGCAGGGCTGTGAGTATCATCAGCTAGGGGTGGTAGCCATCAACCCCTTGCCACCCAACCCCCGAGAAGTCGTCGAACACGTGTCCATGATTAAATAAAATGTTTGGCAATTCGTCTAGTCAAACTCTAGTGACTCTGCCACCCTATCTAGACTTCCATTCCCATTAAAAGAAAGAGTAAAAACAATCGGGGAAGTGACGGCATCAATTGGATGTGGGTTTGCCAATTCCAATCCCACGTAGCTGATAAAGCCTCTGGCCACATAACTGACCAGAAACGCAGAAATAAAAGGAGTTATCATTCAATACGCATGAGGGAAATCAATAAATGCAGGGTTCATTTTGCCTAGCCTCAGCTTTCCTATAGAGGAAATTCTGTTAAAATCTTAAGTCTTCCATCTTGATAAACATTAAATAAGCCTCGTACTACGTATGTTCAATTTGTTATTTCCCATTCGTAAGCCTAAGTACTCGAATTGGGAATTATTCAAAAAATATTTGTCAAATTTCCTTGAAGCTAAGCCGAAATCAAAGTGAGGATAACAACTTTTAAATGTCGTTTTTCCCAGATGTTTTGCCAATTCATTTTGGCCAAGCCACAGACGTGTGAACGCCTCGATGATTGGCCAATAATGCATGAGTCTTCAAGTCATTTTTCATTTGCCAAATTTTACAGTTAACACGAAGGACAAAAGGAGCTGAAGAAAAAGCAGCTAATATCCTTCGACGATTCAACGGAAGCAGGACTCGTATGTGTTTTTTCTGGACACTGGACAATGACGTTTTTATTGATAAAAATTATGCACGCCGGCAAACAAAGGCGAGTCCCAAAAATGTTGGACAACTTGACTCAGCAGAAAAAAGCGAAGACGAACGATTCGGGGACAAGGGACCTGCTGTCATAATGGCTCAATCAGGCAGCAGGACTAAGGATATGCGTATGCGGACCGGACTAACGGTACACCCATGGTCCTGGTTTACTGGTTTTCTGGCATTCTGTTGACACAATGTCTGGCGGACAGAGGAAACAGGATTGCTGTGGTCACCAAAATGTCATTCCTTCAAGGATGTGGAAAAAAGGACATCTACATGGCGACAGCCTCGATGTCGGCTTACATAAAAAGGGTCTTTCAGTGTATTTGCCTAACTGATTCTGCGACTATGTTTGTGAGCGGATGGGTTAACGGTGAATCCTGCGCAGGACACTCTCGAATTGACTTTGAAATCGACCGACATTGTGGACTAAGAAGTGTCAGAGATGTTCTTCTTATATAGATATAACAGTACAATATCCATATTCTTTTAAATTATACCGAAAAATTATATGATTTGTCCCTATATAAAGAACCTACTTATTTTCCTTTGACCTAGACAAGCTTTATAGAGCGAGAATTTAGAGATGACTAAGAATTGTTAGAGTGACGCTAGCAAAGAATATATATAAGGTGCTCTATCGTGTTCAGAAGCTTCTCACAGCATCTCAACTTATTCAGCACTTATATAAACTTTTGAGGTCAAATTATTATACATTTAAGAGAATATTCTGGCAGTCTTTTAAGATTTAAAACATAACTTAAGATTATTTCATAGCTACCCAACGAATGTATTAAATTCCTCATACGATACAAATTAACAGAGCGCCGCGTGCATCCTATAGTTTATCTAACTTATGCTCAATCAAATATTGCCAGAAATCTTGGGCTTATAAATAATCCGACATCTGGTTATTAGTGTATTTAATAGAATATAGTAGGTTTATTTATGAAGATCTACCAAGTAATTTGAAATTAATAGATAGAGATGATGTTCAGCAATGGCAACGGGGGCCTTCAGCTCGATAATATAGTAGATAAATATCATAGAAACTGGCACAAATATTTTGAGTGCTTATTATTTAATTGTCGTTAATAGTTTTAGGCGGACGATTTAACGATTTACGTTTTACTTCTTCCGCTGCGAAGCATTTTTAAAAACTCAATTTCTTTAGTCAATTGTCAGCAGTCAGCCAGCAGGATGCCCAAAAGAGAACCAACTACTTTCCGGATTTTCTATTGAAATTTACAACTGTGAAGAGTGGGCGGATTGGAGAGACGCCCATTTCAGCTAACGATTATTTGGCAGAAAATTTGCCAATTCTGTTAAAAAGCAAACAGGATTCTGGCAAAAGGATTTGCCAGCTAAAGCGTAAAATGCCGTTTAAAACCTTTTTCCCCTGAGGACCTTAGCTATTCTTAGGTAAAGATGACGCGACGCCCTGTTGACTTAAGATTACGAGGATTCAGCCAACCGGAGAATCGCTACATGGCAGTTGATCCTATGCCTATGCACTTGTTGCTACTTGTATACTAACCACTAACCTGCACAAATCCGTAAAGAAACAGCCGTTTTTTGATTGTTGAGTTATGCATTTGAACAATGTGTATATGAAGCGATATATGACTATTGGCCCTTCTTGATGACGTGCGCCAGGTCGTAAACTCCGCGCACAGCCTTCAGCTTGACTCCGGGAACATCCTGCAGACGACCCACGCGGCAAAGGACTATGTTGTGCTCCTGTAGGTTATGCCCAATGCCGGGGATGTAGGCAACCATCTCCTTGCCAGTAGAGAGCCGGACCAAGACGCACTTGCGGTTGGCAGAGTTGGGCTTCTTGGGCTTTTTGATCAGTGTCTTCAGAACAACGCCCTTGGCAAAGGGTTTACCATCGAGAGGCTGGCGAGGTGGTCGCGTCTTAACGTGCGGTCCACTGCGATGCATCTGCTGCAACGAGGCCATTCCGCGGACAGCGGTCTCAAAGCTGCTCTGGATGGCTACAAAAGAAGAATGGATAGGTTAGATTTTTAAGCAAACAAATATGTTTCTTATTTTATGGTATTTCTGAACTCCTTTCCAACCACAAATCTACAGAATCTAAAGCCTCAGTATCCCAAAACTCTATTCTTAAGCAGAAAGCTGGCCAGATATGCTTATGGAATCAGTATTTCTTTCCTACTCTAATTCGCGCAACAGCAGACTTCATGACTTGTATTTAGTAAGTGCAATATAACATTTAAAATAATTGCTAAAACTCCTTTTAATTTATAATTTTTAAAAATAATATATATACTAAATTACCATTACAGTAACTATGTCTCTCAAGCCTGGCATCACAATCCTTTTAATAATATATTTTATAAAAATCAAATACAAGTTGCTAAGAAGTAAGCGAAAGTGATCGATTGAAATCCCACATCAATATAAAGCACGACTGTACCCCGTCTAACAATGCGGACAACAGGGTCATTCCCATGGACAGTTGGTCAGTGATTGACAATGCCCGCTGGTGCTGGCCCTGGTTCTTTTGTCATACAGCTAATCTCTGTGAAAATCGAGAATAGTGCGGAATGGAGTCTGTGACCGGCGACAATAATTGCAGCCAAATGACGCGCATACCGGCGATCATAGTCCCGTCAAGCCTTTTGGCCAGAAACAATGCGACAACTGGGGAAGATCCAACGTTTCCAATTATAAATATGCCAAATGCCACACACAAGCGGCAGGTAATAATTTCCATATGCAGGATTGCCGGACAAACAAATCCGGGACCTTTTGTCCTCTGAACTGCGACCTTTTTTTGCGGTTGAACGTTTCTATTGTTCTTGCGCTTTCAGTTCATTTGTGGGGTGACAGGTTTTCAATTATTTTTACAATCAAAAGCGGGGGAGTTGTGGAATGTGCATGTGAAACTAGCTATGAAAATATTCGCAGGGAAAAAGTGAGACCGCCACGCGCTCTACAAAAAGAGTTGGAAATAACCAAATACAAAAGCAAGGGAAACACAAATACTAATGCACTTGCAGTTTGTTTGATTTTCCATATGAGGAAATGAAACTATTGCAAAGTTGTGGATTTCAAAGGGCCGGGTCCTTATATTAAGAGTTCATCCTCACGAAAACACTTAACAAGCTACAAAAGTACAGTTCTTAACTTATGCGCTTTTAACTTACCCCGGGATGTCAACTGTTTCGTAATGCCGAAAGTTTGCCGCAGGAAATTCATGTTGCCGGTGTTCTCTTACAGTTTGTCTGCTTGCAGTCTTGTAGTTAGACACTGTGGAGCTTGTAAATAAGCTTGTTTATCGCCTTTTTGTAACCAAATTTTCAAACTAATAAATATTCCAATTGCAATTAAATTCTAATGTGACAAAACAGCTGTTCTTTTACTTAGTGGTGGCACAAAACCGATATACACTCTAAGCGGTAGGTGTTTTTGCAAAGTATGGTTGGCGTATTTGCTAAAGGTTCGTGTTTTTGCTAAGCTATAAAATTACAGAATTCTCGTTACTTTTTAAAATCATTTAATTTTATTGATTATATTAAATCCCAATTATTTCCATATTTGCAAACTGAATTACCAGTATACAAAAACTACAGCTTGAACATTTTGAAGAACTTTCTTTTTTAATTTCAAAATTCGCATATGTACTTTTAAAACTTTGCAGTTTTTTAACTTAAAAATAAATTAGGATGTCTTGCGTGGGCTGTGTGCTTAATATACGATGTCGGGTGATTAGTGACATTTCGAAATGTATTGCATTAATGCTAGATAGTTGGTTTGCAGTTACAGTTAGTTAGGTTGCTAGTTAGAGTGCTTAATCTAATTGAACTAATCAATTCGAGTCGTTGACGCTTACACTGTAATAAATAAATAACACTATGCTAAATGGTTTAGTCGAGATGCAATTCAGCCCCCTGGGGTATGCACAGAACAATATAATTAAATTTATATGTAAAAAAATAAAAATTAATAATCCTACTGACTATCTGGCCGGCAGCGACAAGGAAAGAGTAAAATATTAATAATTATCAGCTCTTTTTCATATCAAATGTAATTGCTAGCAGGATTAGCGTTGAACGACTAAGCTCCTAAACGTTCTTATTAAATTGAATTAAATCAAATGAAATCAAACTTTAAATTGCATTAGCTTGTGATCTCTCTCTTTCTCTATAAATCGTTAAGAATTCATAAACATTTTTGGTTCTAGCGCAAAACTATCAAACAAACTAATTTTTTAGAAAAAAAATAATGGCGCAGACTTTCAACCCGAATCACTTATCTAATTTTAAAGACTAATTTTAGTTCTTAGCCAAAATAATTTGCCAAATTGATTGGCCTTTGGAAAACTAAACAGTACCGAGTGCCTTAAAAACTAATATTCGAGTGTTTATAACTGCTCTGCCGGCCTGGTCTATGAATAACCATAATAATACACGCCAAGTTTAGGCTCCTTAATCGTAGTTGAAGCTGTCTGTTTTCGGGGAACTGTTTTTGCTTGTGGCATAGTCTAGTGGTCCTCCTTGTTCTGCTCCTTCTTCAAGCCATCACACCTCAATACTGTTCAGGCTGCCCGACGAGATGTTGTCAGTGTGGCTGCCAAGTCTCGTCCTTTTGATCATGGCCCTGTTGGGCATCGGAGATCTCTGAACTCTGGGACTCCCTGGCACAATAGGTATGCCCACCAGACCGCCCGCATGGCCGGGATGGTGGTGCAGATGCTGGTGGTGCGGTGGCAGGTTGTTGTTGTTGTGGTGGCTCAAATTCAGATTAAGATTGCTGTGGCTATTATGCACCTGACTGCCTGATGTACGGCGCTGTCTCCTCAAGGAGGGAATCCTTGTTGGCGTCGGTGTGCCTTCCTCCAGATGGTAACCTCCTGGCTGCTGGTGTCCCCTTCCACTGCGCTCCATCATTGGCGACGGTTGGTGCGTTGGTGCCTGTTGATAGTAGGCTGAGTGCGGAGGCACCGGCGGCGGTTGTTGGTGGTATTCCAATCGCTTGTGCATCAAAGTGGGAGTGCCAGGCGGATGATACGGCTGCGCGTGATGCAGTCCATTCTGGTGCAGGCCAGAGTTGGTCTGTGGAATTTACAAAAAATTTATTATTAGGATAAACTGGGGAAGTCGTTTCTTTCTCATGGGTGAATGAATGGCAATGTGGACAAAACAATCGCGACTGGGGGTTGGCTTTTCCTGTTAACGGATGAGGACAAATAATAGCACAAGGATTGAATATTAATATAGAAATATCATATGGTAGATGATCATTTAAATTAATATTAAGTCCCATCCGTGTGCTTTTACTATAGACCTCAACCTCAACGCTTACTTGGCCAGCGTTGTTAGCTGGTTTCTTGGGTAGCGGGGGCAGTGGCTTGCTGGGCGCCTCCAACACCGGATTCGGCGGCTCCTTTTGCGGATCCTTCTGGTGAAGATTCAGCTTGATTGCCTCGTCGCAGGCCTCTAATGTTTCGCAGGAGGACGAGGCAACCGCCGGCATTCCCTTGTCGTCTTCGTTCCCGTCATCATCCTGCTGTTCTACTGCGTTCGGTTGTTCCAGGGCCAGATCCCGAGCAATGCATTTGCCATTGCCATTTCCATTTCCGTTCGCCAGCGGAGGCAAGAAGCGCAGCTCCATCACGTTGCGGTTCTGGAACATTGGACGCTCAATTGGCAGGCGAATCTCGACGAGATTTGGCAGAATAACCAAGCGAAAGAGACAGAGACAGCGAGAGAGAGGGCAAGCGAGACAGAGATACCACATTCGGAGGGGTGATAATATTTTGAATTTTGACCAACCAACCAGCGAAAAGTTTTGGATGAAGCTGTGTGAAAAGTGGGCTCAATTTTAGTCCCGAAAGTGTATGGTTTACCTTATCAGATGCCGTTTCCTGAGCCAGCGGATTAGGTGTGATATTCATACGGGGTATTACTCCATTCAGGCGCCTCACATCCCCACTTTTGTGGTGTCCACCCACTCCCAAGACGGCGGAAGTCACAAAGTCCGCTTGGATGTGCTCCAATTGCGGTTTGTTCTCATCTGTAGATAGACAAAGAATATTAATTAAGGCCCTTTCTGTTATAGTGTCTACACTTACCTTCCGGCTGGGTGTTTTCTCGCCTCTTCAGACACAAGCAAACCACTAAAGAGGCAATGAGAAGTAATATACCTCCGCCAGCAGCTCCTGCAATCACTGGATACATGGAGTTGTGCTGCTGTTCCGCGGTTTTATTGGCAGGCGCTGGAGTTGATGGGGAAGAAGCAGTATGCTCATTGGCTTCTAGAAAGATAAAAATAATATCGTTAATGTGAATTCAGAAAAGGCGAAAATACTAGGTAACTTACTTTTGGTCCTTGCTTGTAGGATATCACTGAACTCGGAGGCTGCATCGGAATTAAAGGACTGCAATTTGAATTCATAGGCGGTTCCTGGACGAAGGAGATCTATTTTGAAGCTCCTGCTTCTACCACCATCCACTGTGGCCTTCATATATTCCGCCGCCGAGTCAGCGGGTCTGTAGTAGGCATAATATCCGTCTATTTCCTCACTCTGTCCCGTGGAAATCAGGGACCAATGGAGCACCACTGCGGACTCGGAAAAAGTCTCCACCTCGCGAAGTTCTGGCACTGGTAAATTAGACTTGGCACTTCCATTTTGTAGGAAGAACTTGATGGAAGTATTTCCCTCCTTGTTATCGTTATTCGAATATACGGCGACGATCCGGAAACGATAGAATTTTCCGGCGGTCAATCCTGTTACGGAGGAGGTGAAGTTTTTGGACGGATTGCCCACCTCATATACTCGATCCCTGTTCCGCTGCCGCCAATGATTATTTCCCGACCCGGAGGCATAGTTATTGCCGTAAGGAATATTATCGCTAGTCGTTTGCCAGTTTTCCCGCCGATTTTTTCCGTCGCCCAAACGACGATATTGTACCTTGAAGAAGGTAATCTGAAGTCCAGAGTTCTGGGGCACACTCCAACGGAGCATTACGGATTCGTCTGACAATCGGGTGACATTGGGTCTCGATGGCGGCACCATGAGGGCTGCAATTACGAAATTTGTATTAAATTTTATTATCGGATTGTTTTCTGAGTTTGACTCCCTGATTTAATCTATCTAGCGTTACCAGACCAACAGAAATCGATAACTTTGATATTGTAGTGTTACCGCATTACTATTAATCATTTGGTCGATATGTTCGTACAATAACGCCTCCTGATATCGATAACCATCTTGTTTTTGTATTTTTCTGTACTCGAGTGAAAATGTGTGCGTGCTAGCGATTTATTAATTGAGCCGCAACTCGGGTGTCCCGTTAAACGGACTAATACAAATTTTATCTATTAAATAATAACAAATCGTATAGAGTATAGTGCAATATTTTATTAGGGCCGTATGTGGAGTGCAATAGAAAGCGAGACGGCGACAAAAAAGACTCACACTGACGCACACTAACACACGGGCGCGCGCGCTAGTGCGTCTGTGTGTGTGCGTGTGTAGTGGCTTTGTGTGTATAAGTGTATAGAGCGAAGAGGAAGCACCAAGAACTCAAGTGAAAAACTCAAAACAAACTCAAATGTCGTCCCAGGGCGAAGGGGGTGGGCCAGGAAATGGCGTCGGTGGAGGGGGTGGTGCTGGGTCGGATGGAGGCGGAAATGCAGGACAAAGTTCCACTGGAAGTGCCACTGTGGTGGTCACCAATGGAGGTAACTCGTCCGCCAAAAATCAGTTGCCTCTCACCCCGCGTTTCACTGCCGAGGAAAAAGAAGTCCTGTACACCCTATTTCATTTACACGAAGAAGTCATTGATATAAAGCACCGCAAGAAGCAGCGCAACAAGTATTCCGTCCGGGAAACGTGGGATAAGATTGTCAAAGACTTCAATTCTCATCCGCATGTGAGCGCCATGAGGAATATCAAGCAGATCCAGAAGTTCTGGTTGAACTCCAGGTGCGTGCTTTTTTTATTTATGAAACATTGATTATTGTCGCGAACATAAAGAATAAGGGTTTCGATTGACTGTGTCTGATGATTTTTTATTTTGTTCCCCAGACTCCGGAAACAGTACCCGTACAGAGACAGCTCCTCTAATCTTAGCTCTGGCAGCGCTAAGATTAGTACCGTATCCGTGGCTGTCGCTTCGGCGGTGCCCCAACAGCAGCAGCAACAACAGCAGCAGCACCACCAGCAACACGACGGGGTAAAGGTGGAGCCAGAGTACCAAATCAGCCCTGATGCCTCCGAACACAATCCCCAAGCGGACACCTTCGACGAGATCGAGATGGATGGCAACGATGTGAGCGAGATCGACGAGGATCCCATGGAGCAGCAGCAGCAGCAGCAGGAAGCCCAAGCTCAAGCGCAAGCGCAGGCACAAGCACAGGCCCAAGTTCAATCCGCTGCCGCCGAGATGCAAAAGATTCAACAGGCCAATGCGGTCGCAGTTGCGGCGGCAAATGCCACCATGATCAACACCCACCAGATCAACGTGGACCAGATAAGTGCAGAGAAACTTACCCTAAACGATTTGCTTCACTTCAAGACAGCGCGACCCCGTGAGGAAATCATCCTGCAAATCAAGCATCCATCAGAGGCTACTGGTGAGATAATACGCCCTTTGTTTAAGAATCGATTTTTTAGTAAAACTATTTTCCTTTCTTAGCCACCCAGATCCACACTATACCCTCCCAGGCGCAGCAGCATCCAATGGCCACTATAACCGCCGGTGGCTACAATCAGCAGATCATCAGCGAGATCAAACCGCAGCAAATCACTTTGGCCCAATATCAGGCTCAACAACAACAGCAGGCCCAGGCGCAGGCACAGGCCCAAGCACAAGCTCAGGCACAAGCCCAAGCTCAGGCCCAACAGCTCGCTCAGCAGCAACTGGCAGCCGCTCAACATCAGCAGCTGGCCGCTGCCGTCCAAGTGCATCACCAGCAACAGCAGCAACAACAGGCAGCAGTTGCCGTTCAGCAGCAACAACAGGCAGCAGCGGCAGCGGCGGCAGTCAAGATGCAGCTTACTGCCGCCACGCCCACGTTCACTTTTAGCGCCCTGCCCACAGTAACGGCGGCAACGACAGTGCCTACAGCGGTTCCAGTGCCTGTTGCCACAGCCGCTTCGGCTTCTGGGAACTCAGCGGCGGTCAACACATCAACAGCCTCTTCCGTGAGTATCAACAACACTAGCCTGGGCGGAGTAGGAGGCAACGGAGCCTCCAGTTCATCCTCTGCAGCAGCCGACAGTTTTGAGGAGCGAATGAACTATTTCAAGATCCGCGAGGCAGAACTGCGCTGCAAGGAGCAGCAGCTGTCTACAGAAGCCAAGCGCATCGAGCTCAACAAGGCGCAGGATGAACTGAAATACATGAAGGAAGTACATCGACTGCGAGTCGAGGAGCTAAAGATGAAGATACGCATCCTGCAGAAGGAGGAGGAACAGCTACGCAAGTGCTCTAATTCATGAGATCTGGAGGACATTAGCGATGCCGAAGAGGAGGAAGAGGACGCGGATGCCTACTTGGATCGCTTCACCCCTGGGGGCTTTTAGTTTTTTAGTCTTAGCTCTAAAACTATCATCTACTCCTATCCTGAATCCCCATTCCCTAACTCCACATCCCACTTTACATACACATTTTTGTTTAGGTTTTTTTTTCTAGTTGTCGCGGGGCGGGGGACACCGGTGCGACTTAAGTCCACCGCTGGCCAGGATTACCGACTAAGCCATCACTAATTGTAAATCGCAATCAATCAATTATACACACACACACACATACACACACACAAAACACACAGTAATGGTGGGCGTGGCCAGCTAATCCACGATGAAAACTTATTAGGATCGATTAAAAAACAAATTATTTCTTAACAAATTATTGATTTTAAAGTATGAATAAAAATTGTAAGATATTCGAAATTTTTGTGGTTTCATTCCTATCCAAAAACTATTATCAATGTTTTGCACTCACCTTTGTACTTCCGCCTCCCGCCCTTGTTTTTGGAACCACCAGATGGTGTCGACGAGGATCCCATTCCACTGTTCGATTCATGAGCAGGCCACATAGGAACTCCGCCTAGTGGCTCGTCATCCTCGCCGGTGATTTCCAGAGGATTTACTCGCAGTGTGTTGGCCTCGCTAGTCTGTTGGAGATTTAATTTGGTTAGATTGAACGATTTGGTTTATTACGATCCCCAATAATGGTTTTTACTCCATTTTTCTCCTCAAGACGACAGTATTGTGTCCATAACTAAGCCAATAATGACGCAAATATGGTATGTCATGCCTCGTTGAGTTTGATTTTTAAATCCTAGTCGATATGTATTTTCACTTTGAAATGCCAAATTTTTTCCGGAAAATTTACGTACTCCTAATTTGTTAGTATACAAAGCCAAAATGTCGAATTACGAAATGTTAAACCTCGTTGAGATTGTAATTTAATTCCCAATCGAAGGCATTTAAGTCTAGAAATATTAGTTTTTGTCGTAAGTCTACTCCAAACTTACCTCTCCAAGAATGTTCTTCGCGAAGCACTGTACCACTCCGGCGTGCCTCTTTTGCACTCGCTGCAGATGTAGGCTCCGATTGTCCACCACGGCTTCCGGATCCTTGGAGGCATCCTCCCCGTTTATGAGCCAGTAAATATCCGGCTGGGGATTCCCCGAGGCTGAGCAGTCCAACAGCAAGGAATTACTTTCGTTTGTCAGCGTGGCAGCTGGCCCTCTCAAGATCGTTGGACGTTGTAGGACACTCAATTTGATGGTGTGGTCGATGGGCGGAGCGATTCCATTGTCCAACATGCAGATATAAGAACCCTGATCCTCGGGCTTCAGATCTGTGATCTGCAATCCATATGGCAGGATTTTGCTCCTATTATTATAGATGCCCACCACATTGGGACTACTCCAAATAACTCGGGGTCGGGGGGATCCAACTCCAGGACACTCGAGCACAACAGTTTCCCCGGGACGAGCTGAATATTCGGTGGGTGGTCGTTGTAGAAAGTACGGTGGTGTTCTATCGGTGTAGTCCACCCTCAATTCAATTGCCTGGGGAAGCCTCAGTTCATCTCCTGTTATGGAATTTGTGGCCACACATGTGTAGTTGCCCGCATCCTTGCCGGTTACTGTATCCAAAACTAGTGCTCCCGCAGCTCCAGGCAGCAATTCCGACTGTGGCAGCTTCTTGCCGTTTCTGTAGAAACTCCAAATTGCTGGTGGATTTGATATAACGCTGCCACAACGGATGAGCAGGCAGTTCTTGGGCGCTACACTCCAGCGAATGGATCCCCTAGATCCCACGGATCCCTGACCGCCATCTAATGCAATAGAAACTAGGGCCAGGCGGGCGGGCGTAGAAGCCAATGCACCGGGACCAAACCAAGCCACACACTGATAGTCTCCCGCCGTCTGGGCACTGACATAGATCCGCAGTCTCCAGGCAAGACCTTCACTTCCGCTAGTCACATTGTAACCAGCCGAAGGCCTAAGATATTGATAAGATTCGAAGGATCCGCTGCGCTTAAACCTCCACTCCAAGCGATCCGGCTTAAGATTAAGTTCGCACTCGAAGACCACCTCATCTCCTTTGGGAGCCACCGCTGATTCGGGGGACCTCTCGAACAGAATACCCAACGTTCCTGGAGAGGAACCACTATCGTTGGCATTGATAGTTAAGATACTGATGGCCAATAAAATGGCCAAAACAAGCCTAGTTGCAGCCATCTCTGTAGCAGGTCCAAATCTGATAAGAGAAAGTAAAGTTAAGAAACGATTTTAATGAATAGAGCAGATTTGGTTTTGATCTTCAAGATGTATATGAAGGGTGTTAGATTTCTGGATATTAATTAAGGATTTTAATTTAATCAGATGCAGAATTCTTAAGGCAGTAAAATGACTTCATTACCCCAACCTCATTCTCGACGCTTGAGAGATCTCTGACCATTTGATTTGCGAGGAATGCGACAGTGTCTTGGGCCGTACTGTACTGGGTCGTACAACCTGCTCCTTTTGCTGCTGCTGCTGCTGCTGCTACTGCTCCAACTCCTACAAAAAGGGGCGTGGCAACGGAAGCAGTCGGGCCAGGCAATGTGCCATTTAAACTGGAGCTTCAGCACCGCGGACCCAAGGACTCGTCGTCCCAGGCCCAGATTGTTAATGGCGTGTCATTATTATGAGCTGCTCTGCCCTGTTTTTAACAAAGGGGCAGGGAACAAGAACGAAGGATGGAGTTCAAGAACGGGTTGGACGAGCGTCTGGCCTGCGACAGTTTGGGGGCTCTCGATTTGAAATTTAAACGACGCCACAACACAAAAGCGCGCGCGGAATTCCAGGAAAACGGCCGCCCAGTCGTTAGGCATCCACCACGGTCCTGCCCCCTGGTTACTACTCCTCCTGCATTTCGAATCCTCGCTTTTGCACAGATAAAAAAAAAACATATCGACATACTCGGGGCACTAATTATTAAGGTACATTAATATTGATGAAACTTTTTTGATAGTTCAGTAGTTTCGAAGCATTGGTGGTTAGAAAGCTACCAACTTGATGAAACATTCTTTTTTGAAAATGAAACGAAGAATCGTTAAACTGATCAAGAAATCATATAGAATTTCTTCCTGTGCATCAGACACTGCAGCGAAACTCCTGACGCACATAAATCGCAAAGCGGCTCCCATTTGATAGTCATTATTGGTCCGAAGGCGCGTGCAGCTGCCGATGTTGCTGTTGTGCTCCCGATGTTGCTGTTGCTGTTGCTGTTGCTGTTACTGTTGCAGATGTTGCTGCTGGTGGTGGCCACTTGTTAACCCAAGGAGCAAACCGGACTGCCTACACACGAGCAAGCAGCAAAAGCAACAGCAACAGCAACACGGAGTCGAAAACCAGCTCGACGCTGATTTAAAACATCTGACAACAAAAGTAAAGCGCGAAATTGACGCAGGTTCCAGTGCCTGCCCCTTCAGCAATCCGCATCCGCATCCACTTTTTGCTGCTGCTGGTGCCGATGTTGCTGGTTGCGTGTGTTGAAAATTAATGCGCATTCCTGGGCCAACAGCAACACAGGCTGAAAAACCCCACAAAAGACTTAAAACTGAACCAGAGGAAATGAATGGGGAGCGCTGCAAAAATCCATAAAAAAAAAACTGGAAAAAGAGTCAACAAACCAGCAGAACGAAGAAGTCTGCGACAGATGCGCGCTGCATTAGCCCACACAGAAAGAAAATTTGAACAAAAAAATTTAGCTAAATTATCGCACTAAATAGGAAAGAAGGATTAATGGATTAACATTGCTCTGAAATAGCAAGCACCAGGAAGAGGTCTTTTCCAAGGTGGACAAATTAGGTTTTATGAAAATGACATAGCAAGATGGTGTTGGAATTTGACTAAGGGATTTACCTCAAATTCTTTACCTAGAGGCACTCTCTTGCTATTGCTCCTAATTCAAAGTGTATCAAACTGATGGCGACCTTGCACCTGCTTAGATTTATAGGCAGACATAGCTGCCACTGTAAACAGTTAACCATTGTGGGGAAAATTGGTTTAGGCATTTTTATTTAAATTGCCAGGCCTTAACAAGACAACCATTGTTGCATGGCTGGCAACATGTTGCTGCTGTGTAAACTATTTTAACTATAATCAAACATTGATTGCCTTTCATTGACAGCACGCGATTTGGCCTCAGATGCAGAGAGACTGCAACTAGCAATAAGCACCTATTAGTTGCCTGTTAATGGGCAACATGTTGCTGCTGTGAAAATTGCAAGGCAAAACACATGTGCCAGTACAATTAGGCGATTGTTTCTGGTCACAAAGAATACAGTGTTCGAAATGCCATAACTAGTGGGATTATGAAACGGCAGCAACATGTTGCTGGTTGCCACAAGCAACAGTTGCTAGACGCTAGTTGTAGTTGCTACGAGCAGCAAGCAGATGTTGCTGCCATGCATTATTCACCAACCAGCCAAATATGGCCAATGATCTTGGATCGCTGTTTATGGCTGTTGCTGTCGTCAGCTGGCAATGTTGCTGCTGTTGCTGCTGTTGCTGTTGTTGCAGCTGTTGGCAGCACAATTAATTGGTTGTTTGTTTTCGGGCCAGAAGTTAATTTGATTAGCCACGGACAACGACAGTCTCCTTTTGTTGACTCATTTGCCGATCTATTCACGGACATCAGAAGGCGCGACTAAGAAGGGTTATTAATCAAAGCGGGATGCCAAATTAAAAGGCATTAATTAATGGCAAATAAATATGTTAAGCGACGTCTCCATCTCCATCATAAAGAACTATCACCAGCGGTACACTGGGGAAAAGTAACTCCATTTTCTATATTGCAAAATGATTTATGGCTATCACTATTAGAAAGGCTAAGTTTTTCCCCCCAACTAATGACCCAAAAGCATTTTGCTTCACTCAAATTAAATGACAGGCATTTTCGGAGGGTCTTTCTTCAAGTTTAGATCTAGAATTACTAGATAGGGACATATTAATCTGTCGCTGTTCTTAGCAGAATCAGCAATCTTGATTAAGTCTTTCGCCCCTTTGTTTGGCTCTGTAACATGAGAAATTTATACATTCCAATGGCTTTTTTTCGTGGTGTACTATCTTAGTCGCTGTCTGTTTGCCTGTCAGAAATTAGCATAAAACTGTTAGAAAAGACATTCGGCGTTGGGCTGGGCGTGGCGTACCGTCTTTGAGACAATTGAATTGAATAGCGGAAGAGAGAAGAGTCTTCAGATCTTGAGCGGGTCTCAGGTCTCAGGTCTCAAGTCTCAGGTCTCAGGTCTGAGACCGTGTGTAAGTTCATTAAATAAGTTCGAAGCGTAACGAAGCAAGATCCACAGTGGTGGTTAAATTTATCTATATGAATTGGCGTTGTCATAAGCGATACCCCTTTCCCCATCCCTTGCACTTGGCCATTAGCAGCGGCAGTTAACAGCTTGTAAAACACTAACACCTGCTACAAGTTGTCGTTGTTTTGTGGTTACTAACGTACACTGCTACACTGGGTTCAATAAAACCTGAGAGCCAGTTCATCATCATCATCGTCATCGTCATTGCGATCATCAGCAACAGTTGCTGGCAGAAAAGGAGCAATAGAAAGACCCACGAACTACAAAATCCCCAATCACAGTGGCAGATGATTAAGACAGACCCATCGCGGCGGTCTATTGAATTCCGCGAGAGAAAATTATGGTCTACTTATTGGGACAGAAGTTTATGCAGTGTCACCCTCAGAAGTCATCTTCACGATGCTTCGCTTTACACATAATTAATGTGGCATTATCTTGGGTTTAACTTTAAACTACATTTCCCTCAAGTCGGTCATATTATTATAGAAGCTTATTAAAATCACATGTCATGGCTTTAATACAATTTAAAGCCTGCCCATTACTCGGCTTTTGTCATGGTCATTCCCTTCAGAACACTGTTCACTGCGGCGGGTCCCCACTGTTCACACACACACACTCACACACACTGGCGGAAGATATCGGCGAAAATTCTTGAGCAATGGAACCTGTTTTGCCAGCCGGAGAAGCAGAAGCAGCTGAAATCTTCTTTTGAGCGCGACCGGAACCGGAGCCCAAAAACAAGATGCCAAGCCACACACACACACACACTCACACACCAGTATCCACCAAGCCCAATACACACGCACAGGGAGAGAGGGAGACAACAGGAGCGCTGTGACGCCCAAAGTGGGGCCCCTTAAGACTCTTTCTGAGATGAACAAGTGGCGTCCAAAGTGGATGATGAACTTCGAAAGCTTCGAAAGGCTTGTATATCGTGTTACCCCTAGGTTTGTAAAATGATTTTCTCACAGTGCATGGCCTTCTTGGAGGGCAGGTTAAGCGCCAGGGCGGTGGCGCAGAAGGTGAAGAAACTCGCATGTAAACGAGTTCGAAATCTGCATTCCACCGGACAGGCAACAGGATTTTCTACTGCGACCAAAAGGAGGATGATCATCATCGTGATGATCTTCGAGATCATAATGGTCCCAATGATGAAGAAGCTGGTGGGTTTGCCCCACCTGTTTCTGTTGCAATTCTTGCTTGGAACGAAATGAAAATGCATGGGATGGCTTGGGATGGCTCTGGATGGCATAGAATGGAATGAGCTGAGCTGCGATAGGATTGTATGAGGAGACAACCTCGCAACCTCTTTCCTCCTGATGGGTCCAATATATTTTTTCAGCGAGTGCGTGGGTCCCAAAAACGATTTGTATGGGCTAGGAGCCAAGAAGAAGAGCACCAAAAAGAACGTTTTTAGTTCAGAACTCGAGTCGGGCGGGGTTATATGGGAGCGGAATCGAAGCTGCACGCCCACTAACTGAAGTTTTTAGGGGATCGGGGTAAAAATGGTTATGCGATCATATAGTATATTGTGTATTCTCCACTCGAGTTGCGTGGGCGCCGCCGCGTTCAGGATTAAGATTAGCAGTTTAGTTACCTTTTGTACTCGGCGTCACTCGCTAATCCTTCCGTCTCTTTCTTTTCAGTATTCCCGTCTCTTGTTCAGTCGGATCTGTTGCTTCTTTAGAACTGCATTCTGCTGCTGTCGCCTGTAAATAAGCCGGAGAACGTATAAATATGGGTATAGGTATGGGTAAGGCTATGGCTATGGCTATGGCTATGGATACACATAAATATTGAAAATAGACGACACTTTTAATGAATTTCAAAATAATTGAGGCCTAAAGTGGCACAAAAAGCTCGGCGACAAGCAAATAAATGCGAAGCCTATAAATAAACCTCAAAACTGGGAGAGTGGATGGGTGAAAAAAGAGCTGACACGTGCGTGTGAACGGCACTAGAAGAAGATATTTGGCTTGCTCAAACTCTTTTTTTGGTATAAACACTTTCAAAAAAAACTAAATCTATTAGCTTTATACGCAAAAAAGGAAGCAAAAACCATGTGCGATCACCTAAAAAGACTAACAAATTCAATTTAATCGGAAGCCATAAAACTAAATCCCCCTAGCGAGTACCCCTCGTACCTGGGGCTAAACCGAAAACTCCTCTTTAGTGTTTGCCTGTCCATTTAAAAAGACATAAAACTAAGACCAAGACTGAGAACACAGAAATTCCCAAGCGAACAAATGTCATAAATATTCCGAAAATACAAAATTCCGAAGCGAGTGGCTAAAAATTATGCCAAAAAGCAGATAAATAATAACGAAAGGAGCGCGACGGGCGGTGGAGTCTCTCGATTTCCATCCAATACGTTTTAATTAATTTATGCGATTCCCTCGCTTTTCTCTGGAACTTCGCCCACCCACCCACACATGCAGTTGTTGGGCCATAATTTTTGTAGAATTTTTGAAAAGTCGCCAAGTCGAACAGGGCCCCAATAAAAACAAAAACAAAAGCAAAAACAAAAAGCTAACAAGAAACAAAAGCTAAAAATGTGAAAGAGAACAATAAAAATAAAACGAGCGCCACCCCAGAAAGCGGGTTTCGTGTGTGTGTGTTGGTGAGTGACAGTTGTCATTTTTCATAAATATTTTCCAATTTTCTAAAAGCCAAGTGAGAAATGAACGATGAAAACAGACACAAAACATAGAAATAAACTTGGAATGCCATTGGCAGATCCATTGGGGAATATTACGGCAGGTCTTCAGGTGGCGATCCCCCGATTTCCTCACAAATAATTTCATAACTTAAATGGCGCTTGTCCGTCATCATGGGGCGATAATGGTAGCAAATAGAATCAAGTTTGGTTCGTTATAAATAAATTCGGAATTTTATGTGTGTCGACTTAAGACTGCTTCTAAATTAATAGCTTTATCGTTTAATATTAAAAGTGACAACTCAATAAAGGCTAGTCAATTTGAATATTTGCACAAGCCAATGGCAGATTATAAAAATCAAAATTGAATCCCAAGTCACGGCAGATATCATATTTCGCATCAAAGATTTTGCAGAACTGACTGCATCTGAGCACAACAGCAACATGTTGCTGGGGGGCATTGCTGATGTTGCTGATGTCGCTGCTGCCGATGACTCACACTGGCTTCGGCTTTATTTGTCGGTCAGCAAATTAGAAATAGGTGCAACGGCAGCAAAGTAAGTGACAGCAGAGCTTTTTTACCTGACACCGGCATCTCGAGTATGTTGCAGATGTGCAACTGCTGCTGCCTCTTACTTTTGCCATAATTAATGTGCAATTTCTCGGGTCTTTTTTTTTTGCCTTTTCCCTTTTCCACATTGGATGTCACTATTATTAGCCGCCCTGCAGCCAACGACATTTGAGCCAATTTTCCCGCTGCTCGCATTCCACGGGTGAAAGCCATCGACATCCCATTCCCATTTCAATTTACGTCCACATTCACATTCACATTTCACAGCAATACGCGCCATTCTGCCAAATGCAAAATGCAGAAACAGAGTCTCATATAAAAATAAGAAACAACAGTCAGGGATAAAGGAACGACTAGTCAAATACCCTGGAAAAGTATGCTTTTTTGCAAGAGTTTCTTTATAAAAGGCATCCATACTGGTTTTTCCTATTTGATACTTAGCTTCAGAAGTACCTTTGTTACTATAACTTTTATTTTGTTTATATAACTAGGTATATATGTTAAGTAAGTAAGTAAAAACTGGTGCCAACCTAACAACAACAGGGTACCCTGCTCAAAGCATGCTTGCAGAGCATGCTTCAAAATTTATGCGTTGCCTGATTTGAGGGGGAAGTCTGGGCTTTGGGATCTGGAATGGGAATGGGGTAAGGGGAACTGGGGCTTTCGATGGCTCGGATGGGTGGCTCGAGTCCAGTTTTGAATATCGTTCAATTTGCGATCTCCCTCTCTCACTGTCTCTCTTCTGGTCTGGGTCTGGCTTTCTGCGGTCAGCATTCCTTGTTTTCCTTTCCTGCTTTTTTGGCTCATGGCAAGTCTTATCCATTTTCGATTGCCTCCAGAGTCCCGCGGCCTCCTCATTTGCATGCCTATTATAAATTTTTCAAATACTTGTCTTGGGCTGCCCTCGTTGTTTTTTTTATGGCCCACCATGTTTAGTGATTGCTATCTTTGTCATTGTTGTTTTTGGGCTTGCTGTTGTTGTTCTCGTTGTAGTTGTTGTTGTTGTTGTTGCTGGGGCTCGGGCTCTTTCATTGCAATTTATTTGATTTTCATTGCATTAAGTTTTTTGCGCCGTCTCACTCTTTGCTTTTGTTTTCCTGCTGGTGCGTTGCCATAATTTGTTGTCTCTTTTCTGGCCTGCCTCGATTCTGATCTTGGAATTTCAATTTGCGTTTCGTTTTCTGGCTTTTGCGCAACTCCCCACTGTCTCTGTCTGTCTGTCCTGGTTTTTTGGTCTTTCGGTCTTTTGGTCTTCTGGTTTTCCACCTAACAAGCTTGTCGAGCCATTTATCATAAACATTCGTCAGCTGGCCCACGCCCCTCGGGAAATTCCTGCCCCGTCATTAAGATATTTTTGTTTTTTAGGCTTTTTCATCTCTATTTCCATGTCGCCCTGCAGCTAGGTTAAAATGCCGGCCTCAGAGGTTACCAAGTGATCTGGCTGGCCCTCTCTTTCACAAGTCATCTGCATCTACACTGGCAGAACACTCTTCTACAGTATGTACCATCTAGATGTTTGCGAGATGGTAAGATTTAAGTATCTTGAAATATTTCTCAGCTCCACAAAACATTCGTTCTTTAAGCTGTGCTTCTTTTTTTGATTAAGTTAGAGATATAAACCCCATAAACCCCATTTCTTTCAAAACTCATAGTCCTGAGTTTTGCCCCAAAATATTTAGAATTCTTCCCATAGCAAAGCCAATATTGGTCGGAATACGGAATGTCATACATCACTGAAATCGTAATTAAAATTCCAAACGAACTGTATTCACACTTTAAAATGTCAAATATTTGCCGTTTTCCGCAAATTTTTATAATGTTACCCCTTACAGAAAAATAATAAATTTGTTAAAAATTCAAACTCACAAAATCCTCAAACCAATGATGAGGAAAGTTTGTATTGGTCGAAAGCAGCTCAAATCTGTCTTTATATTAGCTCTCAGCCTTCTTTTGACCAAGTTGTGGTATAAACCCAATAAAATCTATGATAATTTTCTATCTAAATGCATAATCCTGATTTTGGGCCCAAAATATCAAGAATACTTCCTATAACAAAGCCAATAATTGTCGGAATGTCGAATGTCATATCTCGTTGAACTCGTAATTAAATTTCCAATCGAACTGTGTCCCCACCTCAAAAAGTAACATTTTTGCCATTTTTCTTAAATTTTGATGATGTTACCCCTTACAGAAAATGCAAAAAATGGTTAAAAATTAAAACTCCCAAGATCATCAATCGAATGATAAGGAAAGTTTGTTTTGGTCGAAAGCTGCTCAAAACAGTCTTTGGGTTAGCTCTGAGCCTTGTTTTGGCTAAGATATAGGCATAACACCGATAAGAAATAGTACCATTATCTGCCAAAACTCATAATTCTGATTGTTGCCTGAAAGTAATCTGAATTATTCTCATGACAAAGCCAATAATGGTCGGAATATGGAATGTCATACATCACTGAATTCGTAATAAAAATTCTAAACAAACTGTATTCGCACTTTAAAATGTCAAAATGTGGCCATTTTTCGAGAAAATTATGATGTTAACCCTTATCGAAAATGCGAAAGTGGCTTACTCCCATTTTTCTCCCCAAGACGACAGTATTTTGCTCATAACTTGGCCAATAATGGTCGGAATATGGAATGTATTACCTCATTGAGTTTGTTTTTTAAATCCTAGTCGAACTGCATTCACACTTTAAAATGTCAAAATTTGGCCATTTTTCTCAAAAAAAGATCATAAAATGCATAATTTGGTTAGCTTACGTTTTTCTTCTTAAAAACCCATATTTTGGCCAAAACTAGAGATCGTTTCTTATATTTATTTCACCTTCACCTTCTTCGCACTCTAATTTTTCTGGCGGTGCATTTCAAGCAGTATACATCCAACCTTTTGCGACCGCTTTACGAGCCGCTTTTCCTCGGAGTTGAGTTACATGTGGGCGCCCTAATGGTCAGAGATTAGATTTTCCCCATTTTCACCGCATTCCCTTCCTGGCCGCCCCTTTGCTTCTCCTTCGACTAATGAGTCTCTTAAGCTTTTCCGCCCACACAGGCTCTGGCAAATTGCGCAAATTAATATGAAATTCATCAACGGGAAAATATCAACTAATTTGGCGGCAAACAGGAAATGCAAGACTCTCGCATGTGGGGCAAACGAATAAAAAATTGTATCTCTTTTTTCGCACGACAAAAACGCCCAGGCAGACCGAAAAAAAACGAAACTATATTAAAAAATAAGGCAGCAGCACACCTTGTGCTTCCCTCTCTTACACTCATGGTAATTTTTGATCATATTCTGGCGCTGTTTTTGTTTTTGTTTTTCTGTTTTTTTGCTGGGTTGGCGGTTGGCAGGCGGCCACAAAAGTTGCCGCTTTTCCCATTCGTTTTCCATTTTCATTTTGCCACTAGCCGGGTGGCATCTAAATTGGCCCACATTTGGCTGCCTTTTCAATTTTCTTCTCGGTTTTCCCTCGGTTTCCCATGCA